TCCAGACTAAAGCCAGGAACCTAAAACTCCAGAATATCTCTCACCTGGGTGGCAGGGTCCAAGCACCTGGGCCATCTTCCACTGTTTTCCCAGGTACGTTAGCAGGGAGCTGAATTGGAAGTGTGTGGTGGAATGAGAAGGCCATGTCAAGGTGGCCACTGGCAAGTGAGCGTCAGTTACTCAGGAATGGCTTTGAAACCCACCTGGCAACAGAGCCTGCCTGGTAACAGGCTGTGATTGGATGGCTTTGGAAACTGCCTGGCAACAGGCTGTGATTGGATGGATTTGAAACTGCCTGGTAACAGGCTGTGATTGGATGACTTTGGAAACTGCCTGGCAACAGGCTGGGATTGGTTGGGGCATAGACGGCCCCTTGACCAGATTGGCTGGTCTTGGCTATATAAGATGTGGTACCAACTGAAATAAACGAGTCTGCGGGCTGCTCGCCTCAGGCCCGCTTTCACCTGACTCCCGGAGTCTGTGTGGTGACTCCACGCCTCTTGCCCCCACCACGGTCCTCCTCTCAGAAACAAATCCACTGCAACATTGTTGAGAAATCAAATGCAACAGAAGTGGAGCAGCTGGGACTCAAACCAGAGCTCATATGGAATGATGGCATTACAGGCAACAGCTTAACCTGGTGCACCACAATGCCACCATTTTGGGTAGTTTTTGATGAATTTAGTCTTTTGGAGCTGGCGCTGTGGCATAATAAACTAAACGTCTGCCTGTGGGGCCAGCATCCCATATGGTTTGTGTCCTGGCTGCTCCTCTTCCAATTCAGCTCTCTGCTTATTGCCTGGGAAAGCAGAAGATGGCCCAAACTCTTGGGCTCCTGCACCCACTTGGGAGACATGGAATAAGCTGCAGGCTCCTGGCTTTGGATTGGCGCAGCTCGTGCTGTTGCAGCCATTTGGAGAATGAACCAGCAGATGGAAGATGTCTCTCTCTGTCTCTTTCTCTCTCTGTAACTCTTTCTTTCAAATAAATAAATAAATCTTAAAAAAAAAAAAAAGGTTTCTTGGGGCTGGCAATGTGGTACAGTAGGTTAATCCTCCACCTGTGATGCCAGCATCCCATATGGGTGTGAGTTCTAGTCCCGGCTGCTCCTCTTCCAATCCAGCTCTCTGCTATGGCCTGGGAAAGAGTAGATGGCCTAAGTCCTTGGGCCCCTGACCCCACGTGGGAGACCTGGAAGAAGTTCCTGGCTCTTGGCTTCAGATAGCCATTTGGGGAGTGAACCAGAGGAAGACCTTTCTCTCTGTCTTTCCCTTTCATTGTCTGTAACTCTAACTCTCAAATAATTTTTTTTAAGTTTTTTTTTTTTTTTTTTTTTTTTTACAGGCAGAGTGGACAGTGAGAGAGAGAGACAGAGAGAGAAAGGTCTTCCTTTGCCGCTGGTTCACCCTCCAATGGCCGCCGCTGCAACCGGCGCACCGCGCTGATCCTGGCAGGAGCCAGGAGCCAGGTGCTTTTCCTGGTCTCCCATGGGGTGCAGGGCCCAAGCACCTGGGCCATCCTCCACTGCACTCCCTGGCCATAGCAGAGAGCTGGCCTGGAAGAGGGGCAACCGGGACAGAATCCGGCGCCCCAACCGGGACTAGAACCCGGTGTGCCGGCGCCGCAAGGTGGAGGATTAGCCTATTGAGCCACGGCGCCGGCTTTTTTTAAGTTTTAAAAAATAATTTAATCTCTTTACTTGTTGTAAGTCTATTCAGATTTTCTATTTCTTCTTGAGTCAATTTCAATAGTTTGTGCCTTCCTAAGAATTTGTCCATTTTATCGAGGTTATCAGCATACAATTTTTCATAGTATACTTTTTAATTTTATTTTAAGATTTATTTATTTATTTGAAAATCAGAGTTACAGACAGAAAGAGTGAGACAGACACAGAAAAAGAGAAAGATCTTCCATCTGCTGGATCGCTCCCCAGATGGCTGCAACAGCCAAGGCTGTGCCGAGCCAAAGCCACGAGCTTCATCTGGTCTCCCAGTGGCTGACAGGGTCCCAAACACTTGGGCCATCTTCACTGCCTTTCCTCAGGCCATTAGTAGTGAGCTGGATCAGAAGTGGAGCAGCTGGGACATGGACTAGAGCCCATACGGGATGCTGGCATTGCAGGCAGTAGCTTTACCTATGACACAATGCTGGTCCCACAATGCTTTTTTATTTCTGTATTCCTGATCATAGTCACTTAAGTCTTCTCTCTTTCTTTCACAGACCTAAATATTTCAAAATTTATTGATTTTTTTTCAAATAATCAACTTTCAGTTTCATTATTTTTTCCCTTTTTTAATGTTATTTTGTTTTTTAATTTTTTGTTAATTTTTAAAATTTATTTATTTGACAGATAGAGCTAGACAGTGAGAGAGAGACAGAGAGAAAGGTCTTCCTTCCGTTGGTTCACCCCTCAAATGGTCGCTATGGCTGGAGCCACGCTGATCCAAAGCCAGGAGCCAGGTGCTTCTGGTCTCCCATGCGGGTGCAGGGGCCCAAGCACTTGGGCCTTCCTCCACTGCCTTCCTGGGCCACAGCAGAGAACTGGACTGGAAGAGGAGCAACTAGGACTAGAACCTCGTGCCTATATGGGATGCCAGCGCCGCAGGTGGAGGATTAATCAAGTGAGCCACAGCGCCGGCCCCAATGTTATTTTGTTATGCTCTAGTTTTCTTATTTCCTTCATTTTTACTTGCTTTGAATGGAAGATTAGATTATTGATTTTAGGGGCTGGTGGTGTAGCATAGCAAGTGCTGGTTGGTGTCGCTCCCCCTCTTCGTGGAGGAACGACACAGGACCCTGCGCTGTTCTTTCTGTCTGCTCGGCCCTCCCCGGGTTTGCTGCTGGTTCTTCCCGGGTTGGCTACTATCCCTTCCACCTCCGTGGAAGGGCAGTTCCCCCTGGCCACATTCCCCACTTCCGCAGGGGAGCGGCACACCACCGGCCGGCTTTCTTGGGGGCTGCACAGGTGTTCCTTCAGATAGATGTTCCCCATAGATGTTCCCCATAGATGTTCCTGGTGCATGCCGTCTCTCTCCTCCTTTATAGTCCTCCTCCGCCAATCCCAACTCGGCTGCCCACACGCCGAGTACGCTGCTCTCCAATCAGGAGCAAGTCCTACAATTTATTGGTTGAACTGGAGGCAGCTGTGCGGAAGCTGTTTACTTCTCTCCCAGCGCCATATTGTGGGAGAGCAGATGCATAGAATAAGTCTTAATTCCAGTAACTTAGTCCAGTCCGGATTGCTCCCCACAGTTGGTGTCCCAGTATGCCACTTCTGACACAGCTCCCTGCTAAAGGCTTGGGAAAAGCAGTGGAAGATGGCCCGGGTGCTTAGGCCCCTGCCACCCATTTGAGAGACCTGGATGAAGCTCATGGCGTCTGGCTTCAGCCTGGCCCGGCACTGGCCCTTGTGGACATTTCAGGGAGTGACCAGCAGATCACTAAATCAGTGTCAATTTTAAATTAATTAAAATTAATGAGGTATCCCAAGTGGCAATGTACCCACTGTGCTACAACACCCACCCCTCTTTATATGTATTTTAATCCACACAACTTCCTTAGAAGATAGGGATTGTGATTTCCCACTTGCAATTGCTAAGTTCAAGGAACTCACCCAGGGCTCACAACCAGGGCTGAATCAACACGAGGCCTGCTGGGAAATGGGCCTCAGCAATGAGAGCCGCTCTGCTGTGGAGTCACAGGAATTTTCTCAAAGGTTGGTCCTTGACCCAGAATCACAGAGTGGGTTCCTGAGCTTTCCCTAATTCCCCACCTCAGAGAAAACTGGTCTGGAATTAGCTGCAGTGAGTGGGGGGAACCCGAAGCTCACCCCCACCATGTTTCTGAGCATCCCAGTCGTACAGTCTGATGTGAATCAGGGAAGGTCAGAAGGAGCGATGTGCACCCCATGGATGCAGCCACTGAAATTCATCCCCTTCCTCAAATGAGTGGTAGAGAAGCACCTGTTGGCTCGATGGGATGGAAAACCACAGAAGTAGCCACTAGATATCACGTGCTTACTACCAGCCAGGAACTGTCCCAGACTCCACAGCCGTGACCCTGCTAGGACATTCCTAGGAGTCAAAAGAAGATGTAAAATTGGATAATCGAGGGATTATCGCACAGCCCTTAGAGAGAATGAGGAAAGACTCCACAGTATGTTGTTAACCAGAAAAGGCAAGCTTTGAAACCAGATGCATCTCATGACCCCTTTGGGTGTTTGTGTGCCATGCTCATTGCTCGTAGAAAAACACTTCTCAGAGGGCCAGCGCTTTGTCATAACAGGTAAAGCCACCACCTGCACTGCTGGCATCCCATATGGGCACCAGTTCAAATTCTGGCTACTCCACTTCCGATCCGGCTCTCTGCTATGGCCTGGGATAGCAGCAGAAGATGGCCCAAGTCCTTGGGCCCCTGCACCCATGAGGGACACCCAGAGGATGCTCCTTGCTCCTGGCTGCGGATGGGTGCAGCTCCAGCCGTTGTAGCCAACTGGGGAGTGAACCAGGGGATGGAAGACCTCTCTCTCTGTCTCCCTCTGCCTTTCCTTCTCTTTCTGTGTAACTCTGACTTTCAAATAAATAAATCTTAAAAAAAAAAAAAAAAGAAAAAACACTTCTCAGCATGGAGACTTCACAGGGAAGAACCCTGTGTATTTTTACACTACTATATGGTCTCTACATATTTGTTGCCACTAACTTATGTTTCTTCTTCAACTTTTAAAAAAGTATTCTTAAGAATATTTTTAAAGAAAAAACGGTCATTGTAACATTTAATGTCCAAATCACACTTAAAGAGGTACAATTATCCCCAAGTCACAGGTGGGAAAACTGAGGCTCCGAGGAGCAGCACCACTGGACTGCCCTAGATTCCAGAACTAGGAAATGGCAGAGAGCCAAGAATGGATGCCAGGATTGCCTGCTCACAGCTCTGGCTGACAAGCACACAGCAGACTCAGGGGCTGGGAGGCCCAGCTGCCACGAGCCCAGGGCGGAGCCTACCTTGAGGTCCAGGTGCAGGATGTAGTGCTGGTGGAGGTAATGCACCCCCTCACAGATCTGCTTGGTGAATAAGACCACGTCCAGCTCCGTCAGGTGGTACTTCTCATCCGTGATCCGGTCGAAGAGTTCACCTCCGTCCACACTGTCAGGACAGAAGGAGAGGCAGGCTCTCAGTACTTCTCCACGATTATTGCCCAGGGTCCAACAACCTAGCCCAGCTAAGCACTAGGTTATACCCTGTGCGGGACAGGGCCACTGCCACTGCCACATGCGGTTGTACAAGACCTTCGCTCTGGCCCGTTCCCAGCAAAATCCCAGGGTATGGGTTGTAAGAAGAAAATAATGGGACTGGCGTTGTGGTACAACAGGCATAGTGCTGACTGCTACGCCAGCATCCCATTTCTGAGTGCTCCTCTGCTTCCCATCCAGCTCCCTGTTAATGCACCTGGGAAAGCAGTGGAAGATGGCCCAAGTGTGTGGGCCCTGCCACACACAAGGGAGACCCAGAGTTCCTACCTCCTGGCTTCAGGCCTGGTCCAGTGCCAGTCGTTATGGCCATTTGGAGAGTAAACCAATGGATGGAAGATTCTCTCTCTCTCTCCCTGTGTGTGTGTGTGTGGGGGGGGGGGTGAATAAATAAATCAAAAAAGGGAAGTAATGGCCAAAGGGAAGAAAGGATGATCTTGCATATTGATAACCAAGGTTCACTCTGAGTAATCTAGAATCATCTGCCTGCAGGGACCAGCTAGTACCCACGTGGCAATGAACCCAAGTAAGCAAATCAGACTATATATGAGAAAAATGGCTCCTGAAAACACATAGTTCTTGGCCTGTCTTCTGTTTTCCCACTTTCCTCCATCCCAGCAGAAGAAAACCAGCAACACAAACACAGAAATAAGTCAGCCCTTGGCCTCAGTGCAAGGAGTAGCTGGGAGGGGTGGGGCGCATGGCAGATGGGAGACCCGCATCCCCGTCTAGCAGGGCCGCCACTGTGAGCTCCAGAGTTTCCAGCTGCTTGCAGCTCCAGCACTACTAGATCTTCTGCATCTTCCACATAATCTGATTATAGGTTTTTGTTTGTTTGTTTGTTTGACAGGCAGAGTGGACAGTGAGAGAGACAGAGAGAAAGGTCTTCCTTTGCCGTTGGTTCACCCTCCAATGTCCACCGCGGCCGGCGCACCGCGCTGATCCGATGGCAGAAGCCAGGTACTTATCCTGGTCTCCCATGGGGTGCAGGGCCCAAGCACCTGGGCCATCCTCCACTGCACTCCCGGGCCACAGCAGAGAGCTGGACTGGAAGAGGAGCAACCAGGACAGAATCCAGCGCCCCGACCGGGACTAGAACCCGGTGTGCCGGCACCACAGGAGGAGGATTAGCCCAGTGAGGCGCGGCGCCAGCTGATTATAGATTTTAAAATGAAATTTTCTCCTTTCCAATTTTGTTTAAAGATTTATTTATGCATTTGAAAGAGTTACACAGAGACAGAAGGAGAGGCAGAGAGAGACAGAGGTCTTCCATCCAATGGTTCACTCCCCAATTGGCCACAATGGCCAGAGCTGCTCTGATCTGAAGCCAGGAGCCAGGAGCTTCCTCTGGGTCTCCCACAAGGGTGCAGGGGCCCAAGGACTTGGGCCACCTTCCACTTCTTTTCTGAGGCCATTACCAGGGAGCAGGATCAGAAGTGGGGCACCTGGGACACGAACAGCCACCTATATGGGATGCTGGCATTTCAGGCATCAGCTTTACCCACTATGCCACAATACCAAACCCCCATTGATTTTTTTTTTTTTTTCAAAAATATGGAATGCTTCACAAATTTGCCTGTCATCTTTGTGCAGGGGTCATTCTGATCTTCTCTGTATTGTTCCAGTTTGAATACATGTGTATGGGAAGCAAGCACTCCAATTGTTAACAACTAACTCAAAATTACCAAAAATTGTGTAGGCCAAGCCAATAAATACCATGCATATCAAGTCATGTTCACTGGCCACTGACTTGTGCCAAAATGACTTTGTCCCGTGTTCCATAGGCAAGCCAGAGAAGAGGGGATGACAAGGCGCTGGATGTCCCAGCGGAGGCAATGGAATGGGGAGCTGTGCTGCAGCCTTGCACCCAGGCCCGACCTCCAAGACACTCACTACTCCATGACCAGTGTGCAGCTGTGCTTGCTCTCGAAGGCATCGTAGAGCTGGATCAGGTTCACGTGGCTGAGCTGGTTCATGATGTTAACCTCATTCTTCACATCCTCCTGGTAGAACCAAAGACAGGGGTAGCCAAGCAAATGGGCCAGCTGTGCCTCCCAAGACAGACAGACAGACAGACACAGACACACACACACACATACACACGCACACTTCCATCATCCTTCAATTTCCTGCCCTCGCACCAAGCCTCTGTGACTCACCACCCAAACCAGGCTCTTACAACATAACAGACTTTTGTCCAACCCACCAATTTCACAGATAGGAACCCTGAGGCCCAAGAAGGAGGGGGCCTTGTTGGTCAGGATCCCGCAGGCATCTCGGCAGAGCCATGCCTGAACACCCGCACTTGGACTAAGGAGTGTAAGGTGACTTGCTGACAGGAGCATGAGAGTCACAGGAAAGAGGCAGGAGAGGCAGTGGCCCTGCTCCTGGTGGAGGGGCCTGGGGCTCGGAGGTGGGTGAAGGTGAAGGCCCTGGAGGAGTCCTGACCCTGGCCAGAGGCACCTGGTTGGCCCCCAGCAAATGTCTCACCCGGTCCTTGGCACTCTTCACTTTGATGATCTTGGCTGCCAGTGAAAGACCCGTGGACTTCTCTGTGCACCTGTGGACCTGGCCAAATCGGCCCCTGTGGAGACACAGAGGTGACACGGGGTGACAAGAGGCTTACCCCAGACACAGTGAGCCATGGGTCACCCTGGGCTTCCTGCTCCTACTCTGTCCTCCACACACACCCTGTGAACCATCCTACACCCCAAGAATATACAAGTTGTCACCCCACACCAAGGGCTCTCCTGATACCCAGAAGATCTCTCTTCACCCATTTCATGGGTCTCTGTTATACTCTAAGGGAAAACCTCCTCACCCCAAACCACATATGTTATCCTGCACCCGATGTGGGCTATCCCTTGCCCCTATATCACATGGGTTATCCTGCACCCAGGGGATATCCCCTGCTCACATCATCCCATACAAGCTGTCTTGCACCCTAGAGAATGTCAGCTCTCCTGTCTCCACACCCTGCGCCTCCCCTCACCCAGGACACAGGGGTTCTCCTGTCCTTTGGGGCTATGCCTTTCCCCCTCATGCTGTGCAGGACCTCCCTCTCCTACTCCTAGCTCAATCAGCCAGTTCCTAGAGCTGCCCAGCAGTGTGCCAGCTCAGTTCTACCCCCACTGCACCTGTTCCCACTCTTAACAAAGCAGAGGGCCACCTACCCGCCCAACACTTCATGCTGGCGCACTGTGTAACCCGCTGAGATCGACGTCTCCTTGACGCTCACCACCCGGTGTTCAAAAGGGGCAGGCGGGGCTGGACTGTCATCTGTTTGGGAGACAACACAGAACCTGTGAGCCAGGAGTCCCACTTGGTCCACCGATTGACAAGCCCTCAGCCCTTTGTACAGCCCTGGTATTTGAAAGCCCATTCTCAAGAATAGTCTCACTGAGGGCAGGTGCTATACATAGCACAGCATGTCAGGCCCCTGCTTGGAACACCTGCATCCCACATGGGAACGTTGGGGATGGAGTCCTGCCTCCACCTCGGGTCCAACTTCCTGCTGAGGCACACGCTTAGAGGCCAGTCCAAATACCAGCAGCCAGAGCTGGAACAGGTCAGAGCCAAGAGCCCAGAGCTCAATCTGGGTCTCCCACGTGGGTAGCAGGAAGCAGGTGCTTGAGCCATCACCTCTGCCTCCCAGGGTGCACACTGGTAGGAAGGTGGAACAGAAGCGGAGCCAGGACTTGACCCAGGCCCTAGATAGGGCCTTTTCAAGCCCTGTCTTAACTATAGCATCTTAACTGCTGTGCCAAACGCCCACCCCACATCTTCCTGGCCTCCGTCTAAAGCAATGCCAATGATGAAACTACAAGGCAAGCGGGTGGCATGGGCAACTCTAGCCACATAGGTCCCCACCTCCCCTCCCACCACAGCCACTGCAAGTTCTATGTTTCTGCACCTGGGTCTCCTGGACCTGGAGGCTGTTTGCAAGCCGTGGACTCCTCCAGATCCATGTTCTCCGCCAGATCCAAATTATTTGCCCCTAGAAGCTGAGAAAGGCCCCCCAGGAGCAGGGCCTCCAAACTCTGACCTCAGAGCCCACACGAAACCAGACAACAGCGTCACTTACCCAGAATCACGCCGCCAGCCTCAGCACCGGGGGGCGTCCTCCCTTCTGCTTCGCCTTTCCCAGAGGCCCCGGCTGTGCAGTCCATCCTGGGGTCAGGGTGTCCTGCTCCTGGGCCTTTGTCCTGCAGCAGGCCCGGGTCCCCAGCAGCGTTGTCTCCTGTGTCCCTGCTGGCTGAGTGTGGCGCCATGGCCGCCTCGGCCCCAGGCCCTTGCTCCTCCTCTGCTTTTGCAGCCTCGTTGCTGCTCCTCTCCTGCAGTGAGGGAAGCTCTCTGGCTCCTCTGAGGGTCTGTTCTCCTGACTGAGTCCCAGGGTCTTGGGGGCAGCACCTGGGCCCGAGTGGGTCCTGCTCACCTGCAGGGGCAGCCGCTGCAGCCTCTGCAGGGGGTGTGGATCTGGGGCTGCCCCCTCGGGTCACAAGCAGTTCCCCAGGAGTATCCATCTCTTGCACGTGGATGGAGATCCTGGGGCAGACAGAAATATGGCCCTGAGGTTAAAGACAACCACCCTGGAGTCAGATCAAATAACTACTGCTGTCGCTTACTGACAGTGGCCTCTTGGCTTCAGTTTTCTCATCTGTAAAATGGGGGCCTTAGGGCTGTTATAACAGTAGTTTCAACTTGTGGTTGAAACCAGTAAACTCCAATCCCCTGCCTCTGGCATTCCTGAGCACTTCTGCCCAGACAGGACCCGGAGGCACAAGACTGGTTTCCATGATAGATGGTGTCCCTGGGCTTGAGACAACCAAGGGAAGACAAGGGTGATGGCTTGATGTCTCCTGAGGCCCTTGAAAACCTGCTTCTGTCCCAGGAGGATTGTGGCCTGCAGGTGGGAGAACTGGGTTCTTCTCACCCTGCTCTGGGCCTCAGTTTCCCTTCCAGCTAAATGAAGATGAGAAATTATGCCAAACATCGCGCTGGAAGCCCCAGTCAGATGTAGCTGATTAGAATCAGGCAATTAGTGTCAGCACTGTGATGTAGGCGCTTAAGCTGCCCCTTGCAAGGCCTGCATCCTGTTTAAGAGTGGAGGTACAAGTCCCAGCTCCTCTGCTTCAGATCCAGCTCCCTGCTAAAGCATCTAGAAAGACAGCAGATGATGGCCCAAGTACTGGGAGACCCAGATGGGGTTCCTGACTCCCGGCTGTTGCAGCCATCTGGGGAGTGAACCATTAGACGGAATCTCTGTCAAATAAATAAACAAATCTTTAAAAACAAATCAGGCAATAGCTCCTAAAAGATTGGACTCTGTTTCCCTCGAGGACAACAGAGCTGCAGCCCCAGTGGCTGCAGAGCAGCCCCCCGCTCCCCTCAGCCCCAACCCACCCTGGCAAAGCCCAAACCCACTTCATTCATTTTCACTACACAAACACTGCAGCACTGGGTTTGTGACCCTAGCTGGGGGCCAGGAAAGGCCCTCTGAGCCCTGATGCTCCAAAGGAGGGAGCCTGATCGGACAGCCACCTCCCGCCCGGGCTCAGATCCCCGCTCAGAGTCACCCCTGACTCTGACTGCCCCTCAGTGGGATTTCTTTTTGCAGAATCACAGTCCCCCTGCCATGGGCTCTAGGTGGGTTGGCGGGTGGGGAGGGACAGTGTCTGGCATGGCCCAGTCTTGAGCAGGAAGCCAGGTGGCCTCAATGTAGGTCTTAGCTCTGCCTGTGGAGTGTTGGATACTTCGGACAAGCCCAGCCTCCATTTCCTCCTCTTCAACAGGAATGGTTACCCTTTACAGGTGCGCTCAGAGGGTCAAATGAGAGGGGAAAGCACAAATGCAGGGTTCAGAAAGTGGGGCCTTGGAGCAGGCGTGTGGCACAGCAGGTTAATCTGCTGTCTGCATCCCATGTGTGCATCGGCTCAGGTCCCAGCTGCTCCACTTCCAATCCAGAAAGCAGAGGAAAATGGCCCAGGTACTTGGGCCCCTGCCACCCATGTGGGAGACCCAGTTGAAGCTCTTGGTTCCTGGCTTTGGCCTGGCCCAGCTCTGGCTATTGGCAGCCATTTGGGGAGTGAACCAGCAGATGGAAGATTCCCTCTCTCTCTTTTGCTCTCTCTCTCTTTTTCTCTCCCTCCCTCCTTCCCTCTCTCTCTCTATATAAAACTTTGATTTTGAAATAAATAAGTTAATCTTTTTATTAAAAATGTAGAGCCTAAAATAGTGCAGTCACCATGGGAAACCACAGAGAGCCTTCAAAAGTTCACAGTAGAAAAGAGAACTGGAAGTAGAGCTACCGTATGTCCCGGCAATTCCACTTCTTGGCGTACATCCAAAAGAATCAAAAGCAGGAGCTCCAGAGATATTCGTACACCCGTATTGGTAGTGGCCTTATTCACAGTAGCCAAATGTAGAAGCTACTCAAATGCCCACTGATGGACAAGTAGATAAACAAAATGTAGCAATACGCACAATGGATTATTATTCAGCCTTACAAGGGGAATCCTGACACTGGCTACAGCACAGCTGGACCCTGTGAACATCATATTAAGCGAAGCATAAAAGGACAAATTCTGTATGACCCCATTTCGTTCATGGCACCGGAGGAATGGTTCTTTTTTCGACCAGATAGTGAAAGAGAGAGAAACAGAGAGAAAGGTCTTCCTTTTTCCATTGGTTCATCCCCCAAGCAGCTGCTACGGCCGGTGTGATCCGAAGCTTCCTCCTGGTCTCCCATGCAGGTGCAGGGCCCAAGGACCTGGGCCATCCTCCACTTCCCTCCTGGGCCACAGCAGAGAGCTGGACTGGAAGAGGAGCAACCGGGACAGAATCCGGCGCCCCAACTGGGACTAGAACCCGGGGTGCTGGCGCTGCAGGCAGAGGATTAGCCTAGTTAGCCGTGGCGCCGGCCTGTATGACCCCATTTCTTTGCACTACCTGCAGTAGAAGGGTGAGTACCTCTGGGGAGAGTAGGAAGCTGTTTAATGCGTACAGAGTCTCAGTCTGCAAGATGGGCAAGTCCGAGAGCTCTCGAGCTTGCAACACTGCGAACACACTTGCTACTGAACCTCACACTGGCTAAGGTGGCGACCGTATGTTATGTCCTTTTTGTCACAATACAAAGAAGAGAAATAGAGGGCTTTCTCCAGCAGTTGAATCATCAGTGCCTGCCCTGATGCATCTGAAAGACTTGGCAGCCTGTCCACAGCCACACATGGGGTGTGCGGCACTGGGCAGGAGGCAGAGTCCTTTCAACACTCTGCCCCTTCAGACCAAGTATGGGTCAGGGATGACAGTGTAGGATGGGAAGTGTTGCATTCAACCCAAGCCAAGCCAGACCTAGCTCGGGCCTCATCCCCGAACCAGGAACACAGGGGACTGTGGCAAGCAAGTCACTGGAGGAGTAGCCAGGGGGTCAGCAGAGGCCAGTGGTCACTGCTCATTTTCAGGTGGGCACAGGAGGACCCCCCATGCCGATGCCATGCAGTTCCACGCCACTCTAAGCTTTTGTACACACCACACAGCATGCCCACAGCAGGCATTGCTAATCAATTACTGCATTCTGTGCCACTAAGTCCAGAGAATGGTCTCAGGATCCTCCACACTGTCAATCAGAGCAGTGTAGGAGACAGTGGACTTCAAACATCCATTCACGAGGTGAAGAAGAGCAGGTGGTGATGTCTCCATTTCCTCAGCCCCACTGCAGGCCCCATGTGCCCAAAAGTCAGCTCCAGGCTGAAGCTGAGACGGAGATCCTATCTTCCCACTCAGGATCTTCCTGGGACCCCTAACAAGTTCATGGAGAGTTCACCCCCAGCTCCAGATTCCACATTTAGAGCCTTGGCCCCACTCCAGGGGCGCCTGCCAGGAATTCCTCTCTCCAGCCTGTCAGGGCTCCAGGGAGGCTCTCATTTCCTTCCAGAACAAAGGCAGACAAAAGATCTAGGCTTCTCTGCCAATCACCACAGCAAACACAGACATCAGATCCCCTCCCAGAGCCAGGCCACAGGGTCTTGGTTATAGGTCAGGGCAGCCCAGGGCAGACACAGGCCCCTCAAGAGAAACACAGTGCCCTTCAGCAGGCCACTGGGTAATCTGCACCGTCCCCAGGGATGTGCTGCCCACAGGCCTCAGGGGACAGCGGCTCTTCATTCTCCTACCCAGCGTCTGCTGAGCACAGCTCTGAGGCTGCACCCGCTGGGCCAGGGTAGCTCACACAGTTCCACCTCCAGATCCTCCAGCATCACCCTCCCCAGAGGCTCTGGGTTGACTCAGCTGGCACCTATCTCCCACCTCTGAGGGTCCCATCTTTCCCTACCACATTATTGAAGGTTTCATCAAATTCCAGCCTAAGGGGCAGGGTGGTACAGCGGTTAAGGGCACAGAGTCTGGATCCAGGAACCTGGATTCGGATCCCAGTTCTGAATCCCCAGCTGTGTGGTGGCCCCAGGCACTTTGAGCCTGAGCTTCCTCGTCAATAGGATGAGGATGACAATCGCGCTCACGTGAAATGAGACGAGGCCTGTGAAATGCTCGGCTAATGCTGGGCCATCGGGAAGCGCTCTGAGCTCCATCTTTTAGCCATTGTTACTGAGCTAAGAGCTGGTGACACTCAGCGCTGCTCCCCACTGTAGTCACACACTCTGGACCCACGGACTCAGAATCTCTGGGCATTGGGTTTTATAATCCCTCAAGTAGTTCTGTCGGACAGCAGACAGTCAGTGCTCTTTGCTCCCACATGCAGAGTCTAAGCCTTCTCTCTTCCCCTCTGGCTAGCCTAGCACAGTACACTCAACCCCAACAGCTGGCCCATTAGTCATGCTCCAGCAGAGGGGCTGCACTGGACTCCTTCCATCGCCCCCTTACCTTGGAGATGTTTCTCCACCACTGGGAGCTGTCCTGACCACAGCTGGGAGCCCTGGGAGCCCTGAGGGCTGGGGCCTGGACCCTGAAGTCAGCTTCATGGGCTCCTCTGAGGGCTGTGGCCCAGGTTTGCTGGGCGATGTTCCTCGCCCAGCACTTGGAGCAGCCTCCTGGCTGGCAGGAACTTCACTGATCCTGTCGGGTGCCACAGCCAGTTCCGGGTCAGTCCTGGGGTTCTCGCTGGATGTCGTGGGAGCTTTGGCTTCTGTGTCTGTGGGCAGCTGCAGGTGATCAGGGGGCACCTGGCCTGAGCCAGGAACTCCATCTCCCTGCCCTGGTGAGGCCCCCGCCTGTGTGAGGAAGCCAGCTCCCATCCCTGAGGCGCTGACGGGGTGCAATCTCTCCACTGTCCCCTCTGGCAGCTCAGCCTTCTGGCTCTCTACAGGAAAATAAGCAGGATAAAAAGGCACTCCTATTTGCAGGAGTTTATCACAAAGACCCTGCAAAGCATAGGCACAAGGTCACTCAGTGTACCATGGTTATAATCGCGGAAGACTGGAAAAAACCCACAGGACCACCAGGAGAGAGTGTGTTGATCCACTGCGTAGATGCGTTGCACAGCCATAGCGAATGGTAAAATGGAGAAGTGAGTATCTCCACACGCAGCTGTGGAGTGACATCAAGGGGAGCCGTGCATGTTACTGCTATGGTTTGGATGTGGTTTGTCTCTCCGGGATCCATGTGCTGGGAGCTTGGTCCCAGGCTGGTAGCACTGGGAGACGGTGTGAACCTTGAAGATGAGGGGCTTAGTGGGAGGTCCTTAGGTCTGCTGGGGGGATGCCCTTGAAGGGTTTCAGTTCTTTCTTTGTAACCCCTTGGTAATTCTCAGGAGGGGGTTGTTACAAAAGCCTGAGCCTGGCCCCACCCAGTCTCTCCCTTGCTTCCTGTCTGGCAGTGTGATCACTTAATCCCCACCCACCATGCAATACAGCCAAGAGGGCCCCACCAGAGCTGCTCCATGCAGACCCTGGAATCTCCAAAACTGTGAGCTAAGTAAACCTCTTTTCTGCATAAGGTTAGGCTATTTCAGGTAGCTCATTATGGTAATGCAGAACAGACTAGTACAGTATCCTGCTTATCTAAGAAGGGAGAAATTGTGGGAATCTAGACTTACAAACACTTATCATGTAGTCTTGATATAGTAGACCTCAAAGGAAAAATAAGACAGAATGTTTTAAATGGTTACATATGGGTGGAGGAAACAGGGTACTAGGAACAAGTACAGAAGTTAGACTTCTCTTAATATATACATTATTTTAAAACTTGACTTTGGATCCATGTAAATATTATGTAAAAGTATAAAAGAAAACTAAACTTTAAGAGAGCAATCCATAAACATTTAAAGGAAAATGAAATAAATCAGCCTAGGAATCAAGTTGGTGGCATAGCCCACACAGAAAGGAGCTATTCCAAGTGATTCAAAACACAGCATCTGACTACATGTCTCTTGCAGGATATACATAAAAGGCAAAAAGAAGTGCAAAGAAAAATACCCAGCAGCAGTGGCTTCTGCAGTTTTTCAGGGATTATATTGTGAGTGGCATGGCTGGTGTGTTTGCTGTGAAACACTTGTGTTGGCAAAATCAGAGATGGCAAATGGGGCCTCACTCACCTTCCCAGGGGCCCCTGATGTCGGCTTGTACACCTCTGGTGCTTAACGCATGCTTGGGTTTTGCTCCCTTCTCTTCAACTCGCTCTTTGCTCTAAAATAACAACCATAAAAACTGTTGTCATTATCACCAATTTCATCCTCAGGCCGCAGTCTTTGTTGAGCTCCTGTGCTCTGGTGATTTTGCTCAGTCTCATGGTGATATCAGAAGGCGGATATTGCCATTGTCATATTAGAGATAAGGACATGGAAGCCTTCCAAAGGTCATAAAACTTATTTTTTTAATGATTTATTTATGTATGTATTTGAAAGGAAGAGTGACAGAGAGAGAGAGAGAGAGAGAGAGAGATTTTCCAACCACTGGCTTACTCCCCAAGTGGCCATGGTTTTGGGCCAAACCAAAAAGCCACTAACCAGGAACTCCATCCTGGTCTCCCAATTGGGTGGCAGGGACCCAAACATTTGCACCATCTTCTGCCGCTTTCCCAGGTGCATTAGCAGGGAGCTAGATTGGAAGCAGAGCAGCCGGGATGCTGGGGTGTTGAGAGCAGCAGCTTAACTGGCTGCACCGCAATGATGGCCAAGGTGATAAAACTTAACAGAGGAAGAGACTAGTTTAAAACCCAGAACCCTATCCTTTCTAATGCTTTACTATTTTGCTGATGATGAACAGACCCAGCCCCTGACAGGGGACTCTAAACAAACTGGACCCCAAAGGCTTAGACCAAGGACAGAAACCAAACTTACTCTTAAAATGTCAACTCAGGTCAGTTGTTCATGGCTACCAGAGTGTTGGTTCAGGTTGGATTCCAAAATCAAATAAATCCATACTTTGGGGAAAGTGCCACAGCCAGTTAGTAATGTCTGCCCAGGGCTGCGTGCGTGGGTCTCACGGTAGCCAGAAGTGTGGGATCTTGAGCCAGCCTTGCTGAGTTTGAGTCTCACCTTCACCCCTTGGCACCAATCTTTTTTATTTCATTTTATTGTTTTTTAAAAATTTTTTAAGGAATACAAATTTCATAAGTACAACTTTAAGAATGTAGTTATCTTCTGGCCCTCCCACCCCTCTTCCTCCTCCCTCTCCCCTTGCCAGTCCTATTCTCCATTAAGATTCATTTTCAATTAACTTTGTACACAGAAAACCAACTCTATACTAAGTAAAGATTTCAACAATTTACACACACAAACTCTCATAATTCAACTCATTGAGGACAGAAGTCCTGCATGGGGAGTTAGTGCACAGTGACTCCTGTTGTTAATTTAACAATTAACACTCTTACGTATGACGTCAGTGACAACCAGAGGCTCTTGACATGAGCTGTCTAAGCTACAGAAGCCTTTTGAGTCCACAAACTCAAAATCCTTAAAAATCTCTGCATCTCACTTACCTCACCTGTAAAATAGGGATAATAATATTGTATGCCTTGCAGAGTTAGTGGGAGGATTGGGAAAGTTAATTTGTGGGATGTTCTGAGAAGTGTGCACAGTACATGGTATGTGCTCAATAGTTCTGGTGATTTTTGTCTCGCCTACGATGACATCAAATAAGCCCAGTGTGTAGGGATGCTTGGGGCCTGGCCCAGAGCAGCTTCTCCTTAACCCTGAATGGGTCTGCTGCTGCTGGGTGGCAGCCCGCACACTTCCACTCCTGAAACAGCCAGCAGCAGATGGCTGGCATGCCCGGCTCCATCCAGCAGCGAGCTCTCACACAGCTATTCTACAGGGCCTGACCTCCTGCTGGATCCCCTTGATGCTTCTGGGGGTTCTGAACCCAAGACAACTCCTGGCCAAGTCACAACGGCAGCTCAGGTCACAGCCCAGCGCCTGGGCTGACCCCCAGGCACACGCACTCATCCACTAAAGGCCTCTCTTCTGCCTGGGCCACAGCAGCCCTTAGCTGGGAGCCAAGAGGCCAAAAACAGTTCAGGATACATTTTGTTTGGTTTGTACAGCATTTTTAGATGTTTAATTTGTTTCAACATGTGAAATGTAGGGGACTTTTACATCAAAAGTCTAGGATGCCTTTGGGGGTGACAGAAAAGTTCTCTTTTTATTGTTGAACTGTACATTTAAAATGTGCATTGATTGTGTGCAGTATATTGTATGTAAATACCACAATAATCATAATTATACTTTAGAAAAATTGACTAGAAAAAAAATTATAGGTTTCCAGCTTCTCTTGAAAAAAACAATCTGAAGATCTAGCAATTCTAGGTCCAAATGGCAAAAAATTGGCTGGGGCAGTCCCCTCCAGCTGGAGCCTCGACTCTCCAGAACATTCCCTGACCCCACAGCGGAGGGTTGATCCCACCATTTCTCTTCCCCTGCGCCCACTTCTCTCAGTCCCACTACCTGCTCACCCCTCTGGGATTCCAGGGCATCAAATTTCGCCCTCTTAATGGTAAGGACACAGCACAGGGAGAACACACAGCCCAGCGCCTGGCTGCAGCGGGCACTTAATTAAAAAATGCCAACTGCTCTTACGAGTGCACCCGCGTCATCAATGTGGCTCACACCCCTGCTCTGCAGATAGCTCTCCCTTATCCTCCCTGCGGCTCCGTCCTGCCACCTCCAGAGCTGGGGGAACTGGAGGCATTATCGCAGCCCTCCTCCTGTTTCACCCCACCGGTAGGAAGGGACTTGGACAGGCTGTCCTTTGGCAGACCTTGAGGAGCTCAAGCTGTTCTCTCTTCTCCCTCTGTTTTTTGTATAGGCAGGCACACAGCCACACACACGCACACACATGCATCCCACACACAGAGGGGTTCTGTCTTCAGGGCTCGACCTTCTAGCCTCTGCCTTGCCAAAGCATCCAGAAAAGTAATGGAGACCCCAAGACCCATTCCAGAAGCCTGACGCAACCTAACAGCTTGACCGTGATTCACCCCGGGCTAAGCCTAAATGTGTCTTACGTGGCAGAGCACCTGGCTCCTCATAGTAATCCAATTCACACTCACCAGCAGATGACCTACCACTGAGCACCTGAGAAGACCCAAGGGGGACCCTCAGGACATTGTGACAGAGTCTGGAGATAGAGCGGCCAGTGTTGGGATTTCACTCAGTCCCACAGACGATTACTATGCTTCTACCCTCTCTGGAAACACCAGAAAGGGCTCCAGAAAATCTGCTTAACTTGCAATTCGGCACTGATAGTGTGTTAAAGAGCCGTGGCTGTGCCTCAGCTCGTGGTCCACTCTCTGAGCACCTCTTGCGCGACCAGCCCTGGCCTTGTACCCCGGCAGGAAGCAGGGGCTTTGTGTCATGGCCTACAGGCAGCTGACAGGCTGATCCGGAGACTGGGGCCGTGCCTGTAGATGACTACTGATACGTGTGTTACCACAAGGGCCAGACAGAGATGGATCAAGTGCCCGTGGCACAGTTCCAACAAGAAATAGCACGAGAACTCAGAGGAGATAAAGTTCATGACTTTCCCCACCCCATCCAGAAATGCCTTAAATAAACATTTGAAACACGTGTGACAGCCACTTTCATTAATATATGAAGAGTCCTCACAAACCAACATAAAAAAAGGCAAAAATAAACATAAAAGGAGAAACAGGACATGAGCAGGCAGGTCATACAAATACGTTAACCCTTTGAACAATACTCAATCTTCTAGTAAAATGAAATGGAAATTAAAACCACAAGATCCATCATTCTATCTACTTTTGGTTGTGTTTAAAATTTTCATGGTAAAGTTTTAAAACGTTTTATAAATTTAAAAGAAAGCTTAGCTTTATGAGATATAACCCATTGCCTCATTTGGTTCTGACTCAAATAAACAAACAGTAAACATCTGAAAAAGTTTAACATAATCCAGGAAATCTCAACACTGACCTTGGTAATATGAAGACTTTATTGTTCCTTTTTTAGATACAATGGTTTGGGGATTATATTTTTAAAACAAGTCCTTATGCTTTAGATATACATGCTGAACACTTATGGAAGAAAGGAGCCAGTGTCTTATATTTGTGAGTTGGGGGGGTGGATGGGATGATTTTGGCCTTCTGTTGATGAGTGAAGATGGGAAGTAGGCTCACAGGGTTCATTACACAGTGGACCATTCAGAACCAGGGGTTCTGCACCCAAGGATTCAACCAACCTCACATGGAAAATGTTCAGAAGAAAAGTGCATCTGTTCTAACATGCACAGACTTTTTTTCCCAGGTAATAGTATAACAACTATTTACACAGCATTTGCCCTGAACTAGCTATTATAAACAAACTAGGGATGACTTAAAGTATACGGGAGGATGAGCAGATATGTAAGGGACTTGAGTCTGGATTTTGGTATCTGCAGGGATTCTGGAACCAATCCCCCGTGGATACCAAGGGACACCTGCATTCATCTCTGTTTTTATAAATGTTCAAGATTTTTCATTCCAAAAGGTTGGAAAAAAAAACTCGCACAATAAGATTTCATTTTTCATTCAGCAAACAGAAGAAGAATCAAAGCACTGAAAAACATGCTTTGTTCATGAAAGCATCAAGCATTCCCATTCTCTACTGGCAGGACACTGGTCAAAATAACTTCACTAAAAGCTGATGTGGCTTTATCTACACAAACCTATCCTCTGATTTAGCATTTCCACTGCTAGAAGTATGTCATACAGATAAACTCACGCAGGGCCAATGTGGCCCAGCAGTTTAAGCCGCCGCCTGCAACACTGGCATCCCATATGAGCACCGGTTTGAGTCCTGGCTGCTTTATTTTCTGACCCAGCTCCCTGCTAACGCACCTGGGAAAGCAGCAGAAATGGACCAGTGTTGTAGCATAGATGGTAAAGCCACCACCTGCAATGCCAGCCATCTGATCCAGAAAGATCCCTGTTAATGGCCTGGGGAAACAGCGGAAGGGTCCCTGCGCCCACGTGGGAGGCCCAGAAGTTCCTGGCTCTGGCTTCGGGCTGGCCCAGACCTGGCCATTGTGGCTATCTGGGGAGTGAACCGAATGGAAGATCTCTCTGTCTCTCCCTCTCTATCTGTAACTCTGACTTTCAAAACAATGAATAACTCTTTAAAAAGAAAAACCTCACTCATGCTCAGACATATGAGTGGCCTTTACAAAATTTATGGAAAATATGTATTTTGAAAAAACTATACATGGAATTTTTAAAAAATTGTTTGCACCAAAATAAACATCTTTTAGTTCTATTTTTCCATGAAGTTTTTGAAGTTCCTTCGGGTATCTGTGGATATTCAGTACATCACTATTTATAACAGATAAACAATTAGAAATGATGTAAACAGGGATGCAGGACTTGTTAACAAACACATCCCCTGCCCCTAAAATGGAGTACTCTGCAACTTTAAGAAATAAGAACAAGGAGGAGCTGTTCCTGTGGCATAGCGGGTAAAGTCACCGCCTGCAGTGCCGGCATCCCATATGGGAGCCAGTTCGAGTCCTGGCTGCTCCACTTCCGATCCAGCTCTCTGCTATGGCTTGGGAAAGCAGAAGACAGCCCAAGCCCCTGGGCCCCTGCACCCCCATGGAAGGCCCAGAAGATGCTCCTGGCTCCTGGCTTCGGATTGGCCCCGCTCCGGCCATTGTGGCCATTTGGGGAGGGAACCAGCGGATGGAAGACCCTTCTATTTCTCTGTCTCTGCCTTTCTGTAACTCTTTCTTTCAAGTAAATAACTAAATCTTAAAAAAAAAAAAAAGGCAAGGACGCATTCTAGGTACAAGAAAGAAATGCTCCAAATCCATTGTTTAAAAAAAATCAAGGCAAGAGCAATGTGAAGAATACATGAGCAGAAACAGAACAGAAGCAAGAGAGCGGTGTGCAGCCCCATGTGTTCACCGAAGGCTTCCGAGGAAACAGTGCCTCTGAGTGCTTGGGCTGGAACAGAGGAGCTGTTCTGGGGACTGGGGTGGAACAGGAGGGGGCTGCCTGCCCTTTATACGATGTGAATGCTTTTTATCATGTGCATATTCAAGTTTCCCCTTGATGCTGTTGATTAGATTGATGTGATTAGAGTGATGGGGCTGATCACCTTGATCTCCTTTTTAAAAGCTGAGATTGGTTTTCAGGGACAAGGGCAAAGGGGTCACCTCTCAGCTTGCAGGCCAGACTCAGGGAAGGTGCAGAGCAGACAGCAGGGATCTGGGATGGAGGCACCGGGCAGGGAGGGGGAAGGAGGGGGAGGTGTGGCCTGGCTGAGGGGGAAGGAAGGAGCGCTACCAGCCACTGAGGCTGACAGAGCAAAGCCCAGACCCCTTCACACCCCAAGTCATCTCCTGCCAGAAGCAGGCACATAACCGCAGGGGTCTGAAACAGCAGTTTCAGGCCGTCTGAGTGTTGCTAAGTGGCTGATCCTTGGCTGTTCCCAAACAGGGTGTTCTTTCTACACACTTCACCCCACCCCCCACCCCAGTCCTCCCCGGGAGGCCAAGCTTCCATTAGCCAGCAGATTTGATTATGCAACCTTGGGGAACAGCCGCTCCCAGAAATGCCACCCTCCACCCCCAGGCTCCGGCTCCTGCCTGTTGTCCCCTATGTCTCACTGTCAACACATCTCCCCAGGGGCAGCTGCACACACCACCCACTCCAGGACAAAGCACAAAGCTGGGGACAGGAAGGGGGCTGGGTTTCTGAGCAGTGGCTCTGCCAGGCACACCGACCACTCCCCAGCTTCCAACCCCAGGCGGTGTAAAGGAGCCAACAGGAGCCCGGATGGGAAGAGAAGTCCCAGAATGGCAAAGAAGCCCAAGACCCCTCCCCTAACTGCCAGTCTGTCCCCTACCTCTAAGATGCCCGGGGCTGCCATGGCCCCACAGTCCTGGCCAGGGCACTGCGTCTTTCTTTCCCTGGGGAGAGTGACAGTCAGCGGCCCGTTTGGAAACCCCTGTAAGTCCCATCTCTCCTTTTCCCCAAAGATGGGTCACACAGGAGACACAGGAGGGAAATACACCCCTGCTGCTCTAAGACCCCTGTCTGGCAGTCTCCCTACCAGGCCCTTGGCCTCCCTTCCAGCCAGGGTGGGGAAGCAGGAACCAACCTCCTCGGAGTCAGCCATGCCACCTTTCCTCCAAGGCACGCTCCCTTGCATGATGAAATCCACCACTTTCGAGTTCTGGAACGTGGCCCCCACCAAAGCGATGGCCCTGTCCACAGCCACCACCATCCTGAAGAGGGCTTCAAGCCTGGCGCCGTGCTGGGTGGCCTCCTGCTGCACGGCCCTCACCACCTCCAGGACCTCAGGCCACCCAGCCTGAGTGTCAGCCGGAAGGGCACTGTCGGCCCCCACTGGGCCGAGCAGCCGGGAGGCCTCCAGCCTGTTCAGCCCTTGCTCCAGGTGGCCCATGCCTTGGCATACGCACTGCAGTTTCTCTGTGACGTCTTCTTGGAAATGCAAGAGTTTGTCCACCTTCTCATTCAACATGTTAAGCTTTCTGTCCATGGTGGTTAAGCAGGCCTTGCCCAACACCGGCAGTTCCCGGGGCCCCAGACTCTCCTGGGAGGCCCCTGACATCCTAATGCAGGCTTGACCAGGGCAAGGGCAAGGAAATGGAGGAGCCCCGGGCTTCTGGTTTTCACACAGGCCGTAGTGTCTGGAAGCTCATTGTCCTAGGTAGCTCGCGGCCTGGCCCCACAGCACCAACGCACACGGACCTCTGGGCTTGTTTGGGGAGCCCAGGAGACCGGGTTCTCCCTGTGTCTTTGCTGTGCTTATCTCCCACTCTGCCACAGCCATGAGTGACAGCCGAGTTTGGCCCAGGCCCTTCTCCCTAGGGCCCCTCTGACATCATGGCAGCATTTGACATTCCTCCCTGAGAGGCTGCTGATGGGCAAATATTTTAAGAATCTGCTCAGGGAGGGCAGGGGCTCATGGAGCTAGAACAAGGGTCACTTAGGTAACAAATGTGTCAGCTGAACATCACCAGGGGCCTTAGGGACCCCAGGGCAGAGTAAGACCTTTGAAGACCCAAAGCACTGAGCAGATGGGGTCTCACCTGCCCCAGACATCTCAGATCGCCAGTAAAAAGCAAGACCAAAATAGAAAGAAAGGTGACACCATTCGACCAAGTTCTGACTTGAGCCATAATGAAAATGCTGATGTTTCTGCGAATTACAAATTTCAGGGCCCCTGCTTTGCTGATGCCCAACACACACATTTTTTTTTTTAAGATTTATTTTATTTATTTGAAAGACAAAGTTACAGGGGTGGGGGGTAGTCAGAGAGAGACAGAGAAAGAGAGGGAGAAGTCTTCCATCCGTAGGTTCACTCCCCAAATGGCCACAATGGACAGGGCTAGGCCAGGCAAAAGCCAGGAGCCAGGAGCTTCTTCCAGGTCTCCCATGTGGGTCAGGGACCCAAGCACTTGGACCATCTTCTACTGCTTTCCCAGGTATATTAGCAAGGAGCTGGATCAGAAGTAGAGCAGCCAGGACTCGAACCGGTACCCATATGGGATGCCAGCATCGCAGGCGGCAGCTTTACCCACTACCCAACAAAGTCGGCCCCCAAAACACACACTTGTATAGTGAATTTTCAGGTCCCCTCACCACCTGGACCCTTAGTCAGTAGTCGTTTTCACCCAAAAACAGAACTGAGGGATGCTGGCCCAGGTACTGGCTGAGCTCATCTGAGGGCTACGTTCCTTGCAGGGCCCTCTGGGGGATGTTTCCCTGAGACTCCCAGCCACCCTGATAATGACTACTTAGGCACCCAGCACCCAGTTTGTAAACTGAAAGACTTGGTAGGGCCCTAAAGAGTCACAGGGCCTGTGTTTGGCATGGTTTCCAAATACTCCCCAATAGCCAGGGCTGGGCCCGGACAAAGCCAGGAGCCAGTCTCCCACATAGGTGGTAGAGGCCCCAGAATCTGATTTATCATCTGCCTCTTCCCAGGTGCATTAGTAGGGACCTGGATTGGAAGCAGAGCCGCCAAGACTGAACCAGCACTCCAGTAAGGGATATGGATGTCCCAAGCAGCAGCTCAACTCACTGTGCCAGAAAGTGTGCTTAATAATTAGTGTTTTTTTTTTTAAGATTTGTTTATGTATTTGAAAGTCAGTTTTTACAGGGAGAAAAGGAGATACACACACACACACACACACAAAGAGAGAGAAAAAGAGAGATCTTCCGTTTGCTGGTTCATCCCCCAGATGCCACAATGGCCGGGGCTTGGCCTGGCCAAAGCCAGGAGCCAAGAACCTCATCCAGGTCTCCCATGTAGGTGGCAGAGGCCCAAACACTTGGGCCATCTTCCACTGCTTTTCCCAGGCCATTAGCAGGAAGCTGGATCTGAAGTGGAGCAGCTGAGAAACAAACCAGCACCCACATGGGATGATGGTATCCCAGGCGACAGCTCAACCTGCTGCATCACAACATCGGCTCCAATAATTAGCTTTTGAGTGGCAGGAAGATCACCTTTGAATCGTTTTTTGTTTCCCAGGCTCCAAGACCACTGAGTTTGTGAGCACATGAGTTCCCCGAGGGCTGACCCGTGGCTTCTCACCAACACTGCCTGATGCACAGGGCACAGCATGGGACACTCTTTGGGGAGACGGTGCCTTCCCAGAGCATAGGGGAGGCATTCCACGCCCTAAACCAAGAGGAGGAAGGCCAGAGAAGAGCGGTTGCTTGCCTCAGTGGAACAGCAAACCCAGTAAATAACACTGCATGGTTTCTGGGTAAGGACAAAGCAGCTGATCCCTCCCAGAAAAGCACAGGCTGACCTGTTCGCATTGAGTCCCCAGGCTCTTCCCTGCTCTTCCGCTGACCACAGGGTCCTGGGTCTCATGCAGTGAGAGAGAGAGAGCACCAGCCACATTTACAAATGGTATTACGACTGACTCCAGTTGAAAGGTTGACCTCCCATATTTATCTCCTTCCCCCTGAGAGATTTTATCAAAGTGAAAGGGAATGAAGAAAATAAACACAAGCCCTTGACAACCAAGCGTGGGAGAGGAGCCGCTGGAGAGTGAGAGTTAGCAGTGGGTTCTGGAAGATGGGAAGCTGTGGAGGGAGTTGGAGAAGCACGTAGGAGAAAACCCCAGCCTAACCGTGCACAAAGGCAAATATGCAAATAAGAGGAAAGCTAGCTGCTGCCCTGCGAGACCCCAGGCAGAATAAACAGTGGCAGAAACGCAAGACCAGGGAGTCTGTTCCCTAACAGTGGCTCTCCTCCTTCTCCACACCCCCACACAGAAGGGTACGGCCAGGAGAGCCCCACCGCCAGAGGTCAGAGGCTGTTTCTGGGGAAACTCAGGGGTCCACATGTCCTGGCTTTAGGGGTCTCGTGGGGGCTCTCCACGTGATCCACCTCAACAAAGCCAAGCAATTAACAAGCCTCATGCAGCCACCATTTGTCGTACCTTGTTCTGAAATACGCACAGGTGAGAAACAGGATCACCAGGTATTCAAAGAAAGTCCTCAAGATGAAAACAAGTAAACATAAACATAACCATAGAGGAGACAGGAAAATGGAACAGAAGAAAGTTCCATTTGTAGCCACGGAAAAGTATGAAAGGCTATTCTGTTCATTAAAAAAGAGGGGCCAGGGTGTAGCCTAGTGGTTAACATGCCACTTGGGACGCCCACATCCCATATCGGAGGGCCTGGGTTGAACCCCAGCTCCATTTCTGTCCCAATTCCAGCTACCTGTTGATTCACATACTGGGAGGCAGCAGGTGATGGCTTAAGTACTTGGGTCCTTGCCACCCATGTGGAAGACCAGGATTAACTTCCCAGTTCCCAGCTTCAGCCTGGCCCAGCCACAGCTGTTGCAGTCATCTGAGGAGTGGATCAGCAGATGGGAGATCTCTCTCTCTCTCTCTCTCTCTCTCTCTCTCTGCCTTTCAAATACATAAAAATACATTGACTTTTCATTTTTTTTTAAAAAGAGGATGTTGTTGAAAAAAGAACCTCTGTTGAGTAAAACACAGGTCCTGGAAATTAAAACTTTTAAAACCCAATACATGCTAAAGTTAAGATAGTATCCCAGAGAACAGAAGCAAAAGATGAAGGGGTGGACACTGTAGCACAGAAGATTAAGCTGCCACTTGGGAAACCTGTATTCTCTATGAGAGTGCTTGGTTCAAGTCCCAGCTACTCCACACTTCCAATCCAGCTTCCTTCTGATGCCCACCTGGGAGGCAACAGGTAGGTGATGCCCCAAATATCTGGGTCCCTGCCACTATGTGGGAGACCCAGGTGGAGTTCCTGACTCCTGCCTTTGGCCTGGCCCAGCCACAGCTGTTAAGTGATTGGGAGAGTGAATCAGTGAATGGAAGCTCCATCTCTCTGGTCTCCCTCTCTCCCTCTCTCTCTGTCACTCTCTTAAATAAATTAATTAATTTTTTTTTTTTAAATTTAACATGAAGAGATAGAGATAAGGAGAGAAGATGTTAGGGGTCGGCGCTGTGGTGTAGTGGGTTAAGCCACTGCTTGCAGTGCTGACATCCATGTGGGTGCCAGTTTAAGTCCTGGCTGCTCCACTTCTGACCCAGCTCCCTGCCAATGCACCTGGAAAAGCAGCAAAGGTGGCCCAAGGGCTTGGGACACTGCACCCACATGGGAGATCCAGAAGAAGCTCCTGGCTCTTGGCTTCAGCCTAGCCCAGCCCTGGCCATTGTAGACATTTGAGGAGTGAACTAGCGGATGGAAGACCTCTCTCTAACTCTGCCTTTCAAATGAATAAATAAAATAAAATAAAAAAAACCCTGTTAGACAATGAATCTAGCTGATCTCTTATCTAACTGGGAGAGAAATGAGAGAAAGAATGAAGGAATTTATCAAAGAAACACTATAGTAATTATGCAAATTTAGATTGACATAAAAAGATTACAAAAGTTCCCCAAATTAAAAAAAAAAAAAAGATTGGGTCCATTGCTGTGGTTCAGTGGGTTAACACCCTGGCCTGAAGCACTGGCATCGCATATGGTCACTGGTTCCAGACCCAGCTGTTCCACTTCCTTTTTTTTTAATTTTAATTTTAATTTTAATTTTATTTTTTGGACAGGCAGAGTGGACAGTGAGAGACAGAAAGAAAGGTCTTCCTTTTCCGTTGGTTCACCCCCCAGTGGCCGCTGTGGCCGGCGCGCTGCAGCTGGCACACCACGCTGATCCGAAGCCAGGAGCCAGGTACTTATCCTGGTCTCCCATGGGGTGCAGGGCCCAAGCACTTGGGCCATCCTCCACTGTACTCCCGGGCCACAGCAGAGAGGTGGACTGGAAGAGGAGCAACCGGGACAGAATCTGGCACCCCGACCGGAACTAGAACCCTGGATGCCGGCGTCGTGGGTGGAGGATTAGCTTATTGAGCCGTGGTGCCGGCACTTTAAAAAGTTTTTTATAAATTTATTTTTAGCCGGCGCCACGGCTCAATAGGTTAATCATCCGCCTGCGGCGCCGGCACACGGGGTTCTAGTCCTGATCGGGTCGCCGGATTCTGTCCCGGTTGCCCCTCTTCCAGGCCAGCTCTCTGCTGTGGCCCGGGAGTGCAGTGGAGGATGGCCCAAGTGCTTGGGCCCTGCACCCCATGGGAGACCGGGAGAAGCACCTGGCTCCTGCCTTTGGATCAGCACAGTGCACTGGCCACAGCGTGCCGGCTGCGGTGGCCATTGGAGGGTGAACCAGCGGCAAAGGAAGACCTTTCTCTCTGTCTCTCTCACTGTCCACTCTGCCTGTCAAAAAATAAAAAAATTTAAAAAAAAAGAAAAAAAATGTATTTTATTTACTTGACAGGCAAACTGACAAAGAGAGAGGGAGAGACAGAGAGAGGTCTTCCATCTGCTAGTTCACTCCCCACATGGCCACAACAGCCAGATCTGTGCCAAGTTGAAGCCAGAAGCCTAGAACTCCAGCCAGGTCTCCCATGTGGGTAGCAGGGGCCTAAGGTGACTTGGGTCACCTTCTACTACCTTCCCAGGTGCGTTAGCAGTCAGTTGGATGGGAAGCAGAGGTGATGGGGTGCAAACTAGCACTCTGATATGCAATGTCACAAGCAGCGGCTTAATCTTCTGCACCACATTATGCATCCCTGAGCACTGTTTCTAAGGAAGCTTCATTGAGGGTATATTCCAGCAAAAATGAAGGAATAAACAAATCAAACAACACAAAGAGTTCCAAGAGGCAAAAGCTTCAACCTAGGCCCCAACTTGAAGCAGGAGAATGGAGAGTCCACAGCAGGATGGACTCCAAGGGGAGAGAATGAGTATGCAAAATAATGTAAGTTCATGAAGACGTGTAGTAAATGAGAGCATGAAGCCTGGAGCCAGGCTGTCTGGATTAACCCCTTCCTCCAACAGGTTTCAGCCAGAATGGTGGCCCAGTGTTACGTAACCTCCACGAGTCTGCCCTTGCTGATCTGAAACATGAGAATAACACAACATACATTTCATGGAACTGTCTGGAGTTCGCGGGAATGCTTGTCAGGCACCTAGAACTGCACTTGACACACGGGTGTGCTCCAATGTTGGTTTAGCATGATGATGGCAGAGAGGGTGCAAGGAGAACAAAAGGAATTAAGAGACCCCCTAGGAAATCTGAGTTCTAAGCAAGGTTACTGAAAGCACCCGTGGTTTCTGCAAACCTTCCTAGCTCAGGGAACGTGGTCTTCAAAATGTGACATGCACAGACCCTGTTCGAAAACGGCAAGACTGAGGCCCTTGTTCTTGTTCTTTTCTTCTTCTTCTTCTTCTTTTTTTTTTTTAAAGACTTATCTATTTATTTGAAAGGCAGAGTTAGAGAGGCAGAGAAGTCTTCCATCTGTGCCAATCTGAAGCCAGGGGCCAGGAGCTTCCTCCGGGTCTCCCACATGAGTGCAGGGGCCCAAGGACCTGGGCCATCTTCCACCACCCCCACAAGCCACAGCAGAGAGCTAGATAGGAAATGGAGCATCCAGGACTCGAACCAGCGCCCACACGGGATACCAGCACCACAGGCAGCAGCTCTACCTGCTGCGCCACAGTGCCAGCCCCAAGGCCCTTTTTCTAAAACTTATAAATCCTGCAGAAGAAAAGGGTTGGGACGATAACACTGGTTTTAGAATCTGGAAAATGCTTTAAGTCCCAGCCAGTGGTGACAAGTTATTGGAATGACCTCTGAACATAGAAACACTAGCATTGAGCAGGCGTAGGCAGTACACTTAGGAGATGTGGCTGCGGCCTGGAGAATGCACCTGCCCAGTTCCTGTGAACCACACTGAACCACACCAAGCTATCACTGGAGATGGGGACGAGCGAATTTGTTACTGTGGTTCCTCTTCACACCTTATTTTAAAGGAAAATAATTGAAACATTTTTCTGGCTGCCTTTTTTTTTTAAAGAAAACTTTTATTTAATAAATATAAATTTTGAAAGTATAAATTTTGGATTATAGGGGCTTTTCCCCCCATAACCACCCTCCCACCTGCAAACCATCCCATCTCCTACTCCCTCTCCCATCCCATTCTTCCTTAAGATTCATTTTTAATTATCTTTATATACATAAGATCAACTTAGTATATACCAAGTAGATTTCAACAGATTGCACCCACACAGACACACAAAGGATAAAGTACTGTTTGAATACTAGTTTCACCATTAATTCGCATAGTATAACACATTAAGGACAGAGGCCCTACATGGGGAGTAAGAGCACAGTGACTCCTGTTGTTGATTTAACAACTGACACTCTTATTTATGATGGCAGTAATCACCCGAGGCTCTTGTCATGAGCTGCCAAGGCTATGGAAGCCTCTTGAGTTCACAAACTCCACTCTTATTTAGACAAGGCCATAATCAAAGTGAAAGTTCTCTCCTCCCTTCAGAGAAAGGTACCTCCTTTTTTGATGGTCCCTTCTTTCCACTGGGATCTCACTCACAGAGATCTTTCATTTAGGTCATTTTTTTTTTTGTCTGGCTGCCTTTTTTAAAAAAAAACTGTATTTACTTGGGCTGGCACTGTGACATAGCAAGTAAAGTCACTGCCTGTAGTGCCAGCATCCCATATGGGCTCTGGTTTGAGTCCTGGTTGCTCCACTTCTGATCCAGCTCTCTGCTATGGCCTGGGAAAGCAGTGGAAGATGGCCTAAGTGCTTGGGTCCCTGCACCCATGTGGAAGATCTGGGAGAAGCTTCTAGCTGCTGGCTTTGGCCATTGTGGCCATCTGGGGAGTGAACCAGTGGATGGAAGACCCTCTCTCTCTGCCTCTGCCTCTCTGTAACTCTGCCTTTCAAATAAATAAATATTTTTAAAAATTGCATTTACTTATTTGAGAAGCAGAGAAACAGAGAATACTCCCACCTGCTGGTTCACTCCCCAAATGCCTACAGTAGCCAACACCACACTAAGCTGAAACCAGGAGCTAGGAATTCAACCCAGTTCTCTCACATGGGTTGCAGGAACTCAAGTACTTGAGACTTTACCACTGCCCCCTAGGGTGTACAATAGCAGGAAGACAGAATCAGGAGCAGAGCTGGGACTCAAACCAGGCATTCCATATGGGATGCAGGCATCCTAGGTGGTGTCTTAGCTGCTGTGCCAATACCTGTCCCTAAAACGACTTCATTTCAACAATCAGTGATGTAGATTCATAATGTAAGTTCAGATTTTTTAAGTGGTGCATGTAATACTTTTGCCAGTATTGGGAGTTCAGTATGTTTTAAACAGAGTAATTTAGCCTTTGGGTGCCAATAAAATGGATTTTCTCAAAGTCCATTGCAGACAATGGGCAGGTCTGGTAACACTGACACAGAGAATTAACCATATTATTAGGAGTGAGGAGACTAATGTTGAAATTAAGTTTCAAATAAATATTTTTTATAGAAGAAAACTTGGGTTTTTATAAGAAAAAATGAGGGGCAGGCATCATGGCACTGCTGGCTAAGCTGCCAGCTGGGTCGCCCACATCTCATCCTGGAGTGCCGATTTGAATCCTGGCTGCCCCACTTCCAATTCAGCTTCCTGCTAATGCGCCTGGAACAGCAGTGGAGGATGGCTCAAGTGCTTGGGTCCCTGCCACCTACATGGAAACCAGGGTGCATTTCCTGGTCCAGTCTTGGCTGTTGCAGGCATCTGGGGAGTGAACAAGCAGATAGAAGATCCCTATCTGTCTCTCCCTCTGTCTCGGTCACCATGTCTTTTAAATAAATACATAAAATTCTAAAACAATGAATGAGACTAAAATATAATCGTCGATTTTGCAAAGAATAATATTTACAGTCACAATAATATAAGTACTTTATCAAGTAAAACCAGTAGTATACCTATCGTGGAGACATGAAGGGGAAGTCAGGAGTAGGAGAGCTCAGCCTTCCTGAGAGGTCACGTGCAAAACTGACAATGCAGAAACACCGAGGCAAGGATCAGAAGAAACAGCTAAGAGACCTCAGTGTGTTCTGCTCTGGGGCCCAGGACGGGCAGCCAGTTATGCAGAAGTCAAGGGGACACACGGTCCCCTTTGTTGATGGTGTATTTATAACAACAGCGCATGTGGCTGGGAAGGGTCACTAACAAAATCAAAGAGCAGGAGAACTTTCCGCAGGAAGGGAGCCAGGTGTTGAAAGGAGAAGCGCCCCTTTCTCCTTGATGCAAGGCACTCCCCCGACAGCTGTGTACCTGGAACGCCTGTCTCCTCTCGGGGCTCAGCTTTAGTGGCCTGCACAGGAAGCTCTTCTAAAGCCACAGGTCTGAGCATTCGCCCCAGAAAAACCCTCACTCAGCACAGCACCCGCAGGCCACCCCACCTTGCTCCTGCTGTCCACGTGGTCCGCCCAGGGAGAGGGCGGTGTGCTCACTCACCAGCT